GTGGAGGGTACAATTTATGAAGTTCCTCATTATGGAGTATTCTCTGACTTCCCAGATATTCTGCTTAGCACCGCGCTCTCAAGTCATGTTGCAGAAGATTGGCACCCATACAAAACTAATAAATCTCCTGTCTATTTGAATAACGTTGCATTCCGGGACCCTCTCCGTTGCAGCCTATACCAGACTATAGCAAGCCGGCTATAGCAACTGGCTACGGGCTGGACGACCGAGGGTTCGGAATTCGAGTCCCGTAGGGTCAAGAATTTTATCTTCTCTACGTCGTCCAGACCGGCTCTGGTGTCCACCCAACCTCCTATCCATTTGGTACCCGGGGCCCTTTCCCCAGGGGTTAAGCCGCAGGGGCGTGAAGCTGACCACTCACCTCTAGCTAGTGCCGAGCTCAAGAAAATGTGGACCTATACATCCAGTCCCCCATACACCTTCACGGCGTAGTGGTTAATTAGTTAAGCACAGGGAAACTTTACCTTTACTTCAAGGTGTAATATTCCTACATGTTTCGGCTATTCAAGCCATTATCAGGCAAACACATGATTACCATATTCACACACTACTGAACTGCATTTGCGATAGTGTAGCTGAATAATTGATAATTATTACTTCATAAAATATATGGTATAAAAATACAATGAACTATAAACTTATTATAAAAACGAAAGTTATGTTATAAAATAAGGTTAAAACCCCTTCATGTGATATTCCATATCATCAAGCCAGTTGTTGCAATTTTGTCATATTCCCGCAGACATACAGCGGTATATTCAGACTTGTGTACATGTAATACACTGCTTGGAGGCCCGTGGTACAGATGTAACATAGTTTGGACATTAATTGTTTAGCCGGTGTCTCATCTTATAATGTTTTGTCCGTTCTATATGGAATATAGAGAGGGTGAATCAAATGAAAACCTTAAATTTGTAATAAAAATCGAAATTTCGCGCCGTTGTCCTGTAAGTTGGTAAACGTGCTACAAACAGCGTGCAAAATGGCCTGTAGTTTGCAGCATAGTGCACATGCACGAACACCACAGCACCAGTATAAGATGGCTGCCCCACTTGAGACTTGCACCAGGGAAGAACAGTGTTCTGTTATTCGGTTTTTGTGTAGTGAAGGTGTGAAACCTATTGAAATTTATCGAAGAATGAAGTTTCAGTATGGTGACGCATGTTTATCACATCAGCAAGTGTACGAATGGAGTAGGAAATTTGCAAATGGTGTGACTTCAGTGGAAGATGCTCCTCGTCCGGGTCAGGCACATCGAGTTGTGACTCCAGAGAACACTGCAGCAGTTGAAGCCATAGTGAGGGAAAACCGCCGAGTGACATTGAATGAAGTTGCAGCAAGTTTAAACAATAGTCATGGTTCAGCACACCACATTGTGCACGATATGCTCCAGTTTCACAAAGTGTCTGCAAGATGGGTGCCACGGCAGCTAACTCCTGAATTGAAAGACCGACGTACTGATGCTTGTGAAGAACTTCTGCGGCGCTTTGAACGAGAAGGTGATGACTTCCTTGCAAGAATCGTTACTGGGGACGAAACCTGGGTTCACTTCCACCAACCGGAAACGAAGAGAGCAAGCATGGAATGGCGCCATTCCTCATCTCCAAAACCGAAGGAGTTTCGAACACAACCATCAGCAGGGAAGGTTATGCTGACTCTCTTTTAGGACGAAAAAGGCGTCATCTTGGAGAACTACACGCCTAGAGGGACCACTGTCGCCAGTGCATCATACTCAGATCTCCTAAAAGATCATCTTCGGCCTGCAATCAAATCAAAGCGACGTGGATTGCTGTCCACAGGTATCCTTTTGCAACATGAAAATGCAAGGCCCCATGCTGCCCGTACAACAGTTGCGACAATCAGTGACCTGCATTTTGTGTGTCTTCCTCATCCGGCATACTCACCAGACCTTGCCCGAAGTGATTTCCATATGTTTGGACCACTCAAAGAAGCAATGGGAGGAAAGACGTTCCGTTCTAATGAAGAGGTACGACACGCGGTGCATGAGTGGTTGCGCGGACTGACAAAAGAATTTTTTTCTAAAGGAATTCATGCACTTTGTAAGCGCTGGAGGACTTGCATTGACCGTGGGGGAGATTATGTTAAAAAGTGATACAGTTTTGTACCACTTGTGCATAATAAGTAATACTCAAAAAAATATTAAATATTTCATTTGGCTCTCCTACGAAATTAAGTACTATGCAGTGAAGACGTATGGGGGAGTGGATGTATAGATCTACATTTTCTTGACCTCTGCAGTAGCTGAAGGCGAGTAAAGGAAGGGCGCTTAAAAGCACTGCGAAATGAAGGCTATGTATAGTACCTACTTACTTACTCATGGAGCTGAGCCCTTATGGAGCCGCCAATTCTGCAGCTACTCAAGACTTTCCCAGCATTTTATGGAACCTGAAGGTTCATTACCCTGTTCACAAGAGCACTCCACTGGTCCCTATCCTGAGCCAGATCTATCCAATCCATACCATCTCATCCTATCTATCTAAGATCCATTTTAATATTGTCCGACCACATACGCCTTGGTCTTTCCAGTGGTCTCTTTCCTTGTGGTTTTCCTACCAATATCCTATATGCATTCCTTGTCTCCCACATCCGTGCTACATGCCCTGCCCACCACATCCTCCTTGACTTGATCATTCTAATTATACTTGGAGAAGAGTACAAGTTATGAAGCTCCTCATTATGCAGTTTTCTCCAACCTCCTGTCACTTTATCTCTCTTCGGTCCAAATATTCTCCTCAACACTCTGTTCTCAAATACCCTCAGTCTATGTTTCTCCCTTAATGTCAGAGAGCAAGTATCACACCCATACGGAACCACAGGCAAAATTATAGTTCTGTATATTCTAATTTTTATGTTTTTGGACAACAGACGAGAAGACAAAAGGTTCTGGACTGAATGGTAGCAAGCATTACCCGAATTCAGTCCCCTCTTAATTTCCTCCTGAATCAGGTTTCGATCTGTTATCATTGTTCTCAAATATCTGAACTGTGCCACATTTTCAAAACATCTGTTTCCTCTCTTTATGTCATGATTTTGCCCTATATTTTGGTGACGAGACAGTAACATATACTTAGTTTTCTCTGTGTTTACTTCTAGACCAACCTCTTTACTTGCGTCAATTAAAGTTTGTGTGTTTTCCTTTATGGTATCTACATTATCACCCAGTGGATTCACATCATCGGCGTAGAACAACAGCTGATGTGTCCCATTTAGTCTATGTATAGCAGCATTCTCAATTATAATATCGTATTCAAGAAAGCGTTCAGCTTCACGATCCGACCGCTTTACACCCGGAGTAAATCTTCTGATGCCCGTAGCGCACGAGGCTCGTAGACACATAAGTGAAATGAAATTCGCCCAACAATGTTAGTGCAGGCCGTGGATACCAATTTTCAGTTTCGGTGACGGATTATGGAGTCGACTGATCAGTCTCCCTGCACGCAGAGCACGCACACAACAATCGCTGTGGCAGTGCATGCCCGGTGTAAATTCTGCGCCCTTGATGCCATTGTGGTGCAGAATGAAGTAGCAGTTCCATCAGTAGGTCAGGCAAAGCAAGTGACGTCACTTATCAGCCACGATGACCGGCCGGTTGTTCACCTCATGATCATGGTCATTAGGCCAGCTGGAGGTGGTAGCTGACGTCATAGCCACTGTGTACAAGAAAACAGGAACGTTACCAATAAAATTTTAAGCTGAAATACGAGTTCCGTAATTACATCCTACAATATCTCGAGCCTGTTGAATCTCTTGATAAACCACCAAGATTTGCCAGCTCATACGGAACCTGAAGATTCATTACCAAATGCGAACGTCACAAGATCCTTTATTACAGGAACCACCGTCTTAAACAGATTTTTGTATCGTGATCCAGAAGGAAAATATTAATCCATCTGCACTGAAAACTACCTGGAAATATGTCTAAATGTTTATTTTGAATTTTTTAAATATAAAAATAGATTTGTACATATTTTAGCTATCGTTATGATTTATAATTACGTTAAATTTTAGACGTTTAATAAGCCGTCCATTCAACAACAAGAATAAATAAAAAGTTCATGTACCACAATGATGCTCTATTTTATATTCTTAAAATAATCTAAAAACAGCTGCACATCTGTCATCATACACTTTAGGGCCACAAATTAAATTCTGCTAGTTTTTCTGCCAGCTCAGAAGCTGGAAAGCCCCTTTGTTTTTATTGCTGGTAGGGAACTGAGAAGTCCAGACGAAAAGGAGTGACTCCACGGTTATTATGCAGTTTACGAACATTTTAATTTCGTCAAAAGTTGTTGTACCCGAAGTACAAGAGCCCTGGTTCCAATTCTGAAGACTGTTTTATACTCAGGGGAATAGTGGTGATATTGTTGGACACAAGCCATACGAATGTCATATCATACACTCTTTTTCCGCATAAAATAAGGAAATTAGGTCAATATCACTTATCTCTACAATTCGTACAAACAGGCCTGTATATTATGAGAGGGATATGACAAGATTAACACCTTTCCTATTTACTTGAATTTTTATCTGAAATGCTATTTCACATTTCATAATTAGGAGGAAATCTTCTAGGTTCTTTCTTGCATAATTTCCTTGCGATTGTTTAGTATAATAGCGCAGTACTGAATTGTGCACTGTTTAACTGAATGCCTCTCTTCATAGCTTTTACTTCGGATAGGAAGGCAAGAAACTCAAAGACGGAACACACGCACTGAGCTTCAATTAAAGTATTGGCATAGGTATTTCATTATATAGAAAAATTGTACACATGTCTATACAGACGGAAGACTTTTGCTTTTATGGACTAGTAAATCAAATAAAAACTGCAATTTATCTATTTTACTTCCTATAATTTGCCATTTCACTTTCTCGTACTGGATTATCACTTTCCAGAGTTATCGGTACAATTGACATAGCGAAGTAATATTCATGGCATTGTACATCGGACTGTTGTCCAGGTGTGGAGAGCAACAATGAGACTGCCACGGCCTGGCCGAGTTCTTCGGCTGGTGTTGCTGTCACTTGTCTGCCTGATGGCAACTGACATCTGCCATGCGAGGCCCCAGCAACAATCCACATCAGGTAATAACCAGTCCGTACATTTTGGACAGATCCAGTCTTTGTTATATTGATAAGTAAGTATGATATAAATGACAGTTAAGGCCTGTATTTAAAAATAATTTAATTTAAATTGGAGAGTAAGATGGACGCTCTAAATTATCTCTTATAGTAAGGAACATCAGTAGTTTACAAGGCCAAAAGAACTATTTTAAAGAATTTATTTTCAGAATATCAAGAAATTATTTTTATGCAGTAGCCAGAAATTTGTTGGCGGCAATTTATACGAAATATTAATCTTCTTTTTCTAATGTTTCGATATAAACTCTCATGTCATTCACTAACATGGATTTACTTTGTAAGTATCAGAGATTTTAACTTATTGAAATCACAGATTTCGTGAAGGAAATGTTGCATCATTGAAGGATTAATGTATATCCATATTCTTTTATACTGAATTATATAAATTATACATATATATTTAAAGCTTAATTGTTTAACAATTTTAACGTGGTGTTTGAACAGGTTACATGCGGCAGTTCTTGAGCACAAATTAATATAAATTTTATGTTCATAATTACAGTTACTTTACTACAATATACCACAAATGCATTTAAACTGTTCATCTCATTTTGTCATATAGACTTGTTTCATTATAATAGCTGCCGGATCCTAATGCAAGGACGGTTTCTGGCTTAATTTTACTCTTGGACAGATAATCTCACAGCAGTAGCCTATACACAAATCGTGGTAGATCAGGCGAGACACATACTGCATGTTTTTTCAGTGTGAAAATAAAATGTTCTTTGAAGGATAAATGAGGGCGAGGTGGATGGTGCCATGAGGTCGCAACTTTCCAAAAGAATAAAGTACCGTATCTACGCATGTATAGGCCGCAGCACAATTTTCAGAGAGAAATTATAGAAAATATAGTTTTCTTGGAATATTATTTCAGGAGTAGAACATCCTGTATTACTAATTATGAATATAATTTTTTTTTAAATTAAGTGTGATTTGGAATATTTCGAATATAAGCCGCACCCCAGTTTTCCTCTTGAATTTTTGGCAAAAAATGTGCGGCCTATACATGCGTAAATACGGTAATCATATTGCCTATATTCACTAAGTTTCTGTCAAAGTACTTCGTGTAGGAGATCTCTGAAACCAGTCACCTAAGTAACTAATATTATGATAGTAAAGCCCGAAGATTCAGCACCGCCAATAACTAAGGCTATGATACACGATCCTGAGCCACTTTCATCCACCTCCAAGCATGAAAATCTACGTGAACGTACATGCAGTGTTAATGTCATTCTGCCGTTTCATTGGTGGTAGTGGTGGTGGTGGTGGTGGTGGTAGTAGTAGTAGTAGTAGTAGTGGCAGTAGTAGTCGTAGTAGTAGTATTGTGTTATAAATTGAGAATATACATCGTTACTTGAGTTCAGTTGACCAACACTTGTGTCCAATTAGGCGTTTATTTTTTGAAACAATTAGCTGGATGATTGGAGCAAATAACAAGGTAGCAACAACAATGTATAAATGAAATTATGTTCTGAAGACATTGAATTTTATCTTGCAGCAGACGCCAGTGGCAAAATAAATGCATCTTCAGTTTCTCCAGAAGAACAAGTGGCAGATGGAAATGCTTCCTCTGCCCTTGGCAGCTGGCGATCTTCAGTGTCTGAAACATCATCGGCAAATGAACATCAACTGCATTCTGATCAAGACCGGAGCAGGTATAAAAAAAATGTACAGGCCTCTAAGGCAAAAATCCCACGCTCAACCTCCAACACTTTTACAATAGCGTACCCGTCATTAGACAACACACATCAAGTTAAGGTTTTAAGTTTAATTCATGAGCAACCAGTACTTAGTAATTTTTCCGCACTAAGAAGTGACAATAGACAGAGGAGCTATCGGGGAACAGGCTATGGGGGCAGTGTTGAAGCTGCCAAGAGCTCATTGTCCTCAAAGAACAATGTGCCTACTAATTTTAATTGGAAGCAAAGGTTAGGGCTTCCAGCAAGAACTAGAACGCTTCTTTCAAGAATTTTAAAATCATTTAATGACAGTAGAGATAATGTTAACATTAGCATTACCCAAAATGAGAACAGTGGCAACAGGCCCAAGCTCATAGGAGTAGTACCGCTAGGCTTGCTTTCATCCATGAAAATGAATGCTCAGAACATTTCGTCACAGCTCTATAACATATTGCTGAAGAGACTAAGGAGTAAGACGAGGGTGGCTGAGCTATCTGATAATTCGACAGCAGTAAACACATTTAAAGGCAATAGTTCCTCAGTCGTTGATGATGATCAGTTCTGGTCTCCAATTGCACTGACTTCAAGTGAAAAATCCAAAAACGAATCTTTCGAAGAGTCGTTGAATATTAAGAATAATTCTTCCAAAAAACTGGGGGGAACAAGAAGATATTCAATACTGACATCTTTTGATAATGCACATGAACCACCATATGAGACTTACTTAGCTCATATAAACGGCAATAACAGTGTCGGATCTAACGGTCTGGATGCTAGAAATAAGTTTAAAAGTAATTCGTCAAAAGCATCGGTCACTAAATCCTGGCTTCCAGTTCTGCAACCTGCAAATGGCGATTCAAAACTTTTAAATTACAGTATCACAGCCGAACCAGATAACGGCACATATTATAATGCATTAAATATACACGATACAGTCGACATAAACTTCCAGTCGCCTCATATAACAAATTCACGGATACGCGTAAATGAAATTAAACAAAACAGCACTACGCCTGCAGGTACGAAGAAATCGAAATTTTCTGAAGCGTACCGCGATGACACTAAATTGGTTAACACCTTCCTTGCTAGTAACATGCAGGATATACGTATTCCAAATAACCAGTATCCTAATAAAGCGTTAGAGAAAGTGAGACCTGCAGAGTTATCTGCTTTCATTCCGCCATCAGAAACAAAGAGATGGCCCGGTGGGACTTCCGGCATTGAGTCTCTGGACGATTTGATTCTTTATCACACGTATACAAATGCTCATAAAACGAAGCCCAAACCCACAGCATGGACTCCCCAAGTCAGGCCACACAAACCAACCGTCACGATGCATCAGCAGCCCAATGGGGGTTATGTTGGCGTAATTAAAAAGCCCGCAGTCACCATTCACAATTCCCACTGGGATTATGAATCGCCATCAACGCCTTCTCCTGGAAGCGACAAATATCCAATGCGGCCACCAAAACCAGGCATTGTGGTACTTGAAAACAGACCCCATACTCCCAAACCACCCTCTAACAATCACAACCCTAGTCATAAGCCTATGTACGGTGCATATGAACCCGAGTACAATGGTCCTACACACCCGTCAACCACGATGTATCCCGTGGTTCTCATCACACCCCGTCCGACGCCAGCGCACAAACCGTCCCCACCCGTGTACCATTACCCTTCATCACACGCTCACGTAACGACGCCACACCCTTCCGTCGAATCGTCCACAAAACCTTCAAACTGCCCCAATATAATCGTAACAACGAATGGAAATCTCACTACAAGCAGCAAGGAAGGATGTCCCGATGTAAACATCATGATAACTTCAGGGGTCACTAATAATAATGTCGTGATATCTGGCTCCTCAAGCACCACGGAAAAGCCTGTAAAACCTTTGCTTGACGACACTTACGGAGGATCCGTGACAACCAAACCTCCCGCAATATCTAACAATCCAGTGAAACCTGTAAGTGACATTTTCAGTTCCGTGACGTCTGTTGTTTCGAGTATGTTGAGCCCTCTGCAGTATCCAATTTGGTACTTCATGATAGCGCCAGTTATGGTTATAATGGCGGGTGGTATTGGCATTGCAGCTCTGCTTTATCCTTGGGCCTTGGGCTGGAGGTCTGCACGGAGAGGAAGACTCGAAAAGAAAGCAGTATCATATCCATACCCAAAGCCACGTAGAAGACGGTCTGTTTGCAGCGCTGATTGTTTCGCCGAGGATATTGTTCACGAAGCGGTTACAACATTTGAGCGCAATTTAAATACTCTACGATTTCCAAAATATAACGATACTTTTGGAGTTGCATCTAGGACAGGAAAGACAGGCATGGCTAAGCGGAGGAAAAGAAATGATTCATTAATTAATTATTATTGGTGGTGGCAGAAAAGTGATACATGAAGTCTAATTCTGTGGATATAAATATAAAGCTCTCTCTCTCTACCGGAGATACAATCAGGTTATGCCAGAACCACAGTTTCAAATTTACTGTCCCTGAATATTAAACCGAAATTTCTCTGTATAAGCTCTGAGGTTAGAAACTATCGATTAGTTTCACATATGTTGGCAGAGATATAAGATTCATATGTACAACCTCATCGCCACAAGCTGGCCTGTTCACGTTTGTACATGTTATTATTCTACACATATATTTTTGGCAGAAATATATCATCAATATAAAGAAAAAAGAAAAAATGAATAACATTAAGGGTTCAGCAATGGCAGGCCTCCCATACACATAGTCTGAGAGATAAAACCAACATAAAAAGTATCCTTCAGCGACTTCAGATTCAAAAGTGAGAAATTTCCTGCAGAAATATATTTATATCATTACCTTTATATTTCGAATTTATGAAAATTTAAGACACCTATAGCGCGTTCAAAATGAAAGGAATAAAATGTGACAGACGAGTCACCTTATTGTTTTCTCCGTACATGCTGCAAACCGCAAATCTCCGTGATTAAATTTTGACTTCATTTAATAACATTATAACATTTGACGTCCAAGCAGGTAATTTTGAGCAAAGCCAATTAGATAGGGTTTCCTGAATAAAGCTAGTCTTTGAATAAAATTCGTATTAGAATTGTTGAGGAACGAAAGCTGCTATCTTTATATTTTCTTCGCACGTTAAGTGGGTTTTGAGGAATATGACCGCAGGAGCTTGAAGAAGGACTAAACACATTTTCGGATAACTGGCAATAACGCAGAAGCAGCATGGAATTACAGAACTGGCACCTCGCAACTGTGTGTGTCTGCCGCTGTATTGTTAAAAACAGGGCCTAAGCACATCAAGTCATAAGATGGGTTACCAGAATTAAGCACCCATTTTCCAACCAGCATATGGTTTCTTCTCCTGTCTACATCATACTAACATTCAGAAATCCGAAGTAAGGATAACACTAAACTTGAACAATTAAGTTACGTTAATGTAATTAAAGAAAGACTGGGAGTGAGCATTCGAGTCGCATAAAATACTGCCGCGATATTGGTACTTTGCTATAACAGGCGTGGCTACCTTACATATTGGCAAAATTAAGGAGTGTATTTCACAAAATATTTCGGTTTCTTCTATTAGTTCGTCAGTAGGAGACAGCAAACAGAGTATGAAGAAAGACATCTTCTGGAATGTGGCGCTGTGTAGATCATTTGCGCAACGTCGGTTCACACAAGATCTACACAGCGCCACATCCCAGAAGACGGCATTCTTCAGGGTTACCTCATTCAAAACCTTAAATCTTACATAGGAAACAGACTGGGCAGCGCCACAGCTCAAACGGTTAGTTGCTGGCTTCCCATCGCCGCGGCCCGGGTTCCATCCCGGGTCTGGTCAAGTGGGACTTGTGGTGGACAAAGTGGCGCTGGGGCAGGTTTTCTCCGAGTACTTCTGTTTCCCCTGACAATCTTCATTCCACCAATTGCTCCACAATCACCCTCACCTATCATCTGGGGCTGGTACAATAGGCCAAAAGTAGACGCAGTACAAGAGACTTAGTCCCACCTCACTAGCAATAAAAAAAAAGGAAACAGAGTAGTTGTATTTTTATACGCTAGGCTAAATATGTAACATTCTTCTTGCATACAATCGTCATATTCTTAACGTTAGCGCATGCGTAGAATTTGCTCGCCAAATGACTCGCGGTCTCCGGTCACTGACAATAAATAAAGATAAGTCATCGTAATGATATCAGAAAATGTTACGTCTTAACAGATAAACAGCATTAAACTGAAATGTTTGTTACTAAATAATTGGATTTACCTAGAGAGCGTCGGCTGTGTTAAACTGACTGCTGTTTTTGAAGTAATTTTCACCCACTCGATATGTCGTTCAGATCTTCTAGACTACAAGGAGCGGACCAAGGTGATGTTTATTCTGTAACTGAATGTATCCTTTTCGACAGCCAATTCCAGCTACATTCATCACTTAAATCCCCTTCCTCTTAAGCAGTTTATCAATCAAAATATTTTATTCATGGTCGGACCCCGGAAACAGAAGAAAACCCAATTATCCTACTCGTGTGATAGAAGAGTTGCGGGATTCTCAGAGTTGCGAGGCAGTAAAATATGGTCAAGTAAACCGCGGGACTAGGAACAAAGAATGACTGTGCTGGCGACGACCAGCAGCAATTTATCTGTCTGTCTGTCTGTCTCCTCTTCTGGTACGTATTCGGAACGTCCTCCGATCAGTTCACTCGAGGCGAGTTCCCTAGGTGCTCCTCTGGCCTCAGGAAAACAATGGGATGAGTCCCAGTTTCTAAGCTGCTAAAACATGCATTTCACGCACTTGTTCAGCTATAAATTCCGTTCCCATCACTTGCGTAATAACAAGCTTCACCTGAATTAGTGAAAAATTTATCCTAGCTCTATATAGAGCTGAAATCCTTTAGAAACATGATATGTTAGTTGTTTTTTTAAATGTATCCGTTTATTGTAATATATTTTCTAATGCGTGGTAGAAATAATTTTTTAACTACTAACCTATAATAGGGAGTTCGCGTCATTTTCTCCCAAACTATGATCAATTACACGAACTAATTTAGGATCAGTGAATTAAACAGTTATAAATTTAAATTAAATTGTGAATCTTGAAAGTCACAAGACAAATATTTATGTAAATTTGGAGTATAAAATTTTAAAATTATTTTCGTTACTGACTGGTTTCTGTAAACGGGACAAAGCCGCGACCTATGCACTGCTCTAAATCAAACCTAGATTGGTTCCAGACTATTTTATTTATTGAAGTGACGAAACAAATATTTTGGTTGCTTTTTAATGTTTGTATCACTCTTAAGTTCCAAACCTTACGTCTTTGTGACGTGGTAAAAATGTCTAATCGGACGGGTAAACATTGTCCATGAAGCATAGCTTATGTGGTGTGAATTTCTCACAGAATATTCGTAATTTTCAGTAGAACTTATTGTTAACCCCAGTGCTTGTTTGGTGGGGTCTCAAACAAAATTAAAATTACGGTGTTAAAACTCCATCTTTTTAATACTCACAACACGGTATTTTGTGTAAAATACATGGTGAAGGTAATGTCTTCAGGAATAATATTGTACTGGAATGGGGACTTAGAGGAATGTGTTATTTTTATGTAGCTGTCTGTTCTATGTTCTGGCAGACTCTGTATTAAAATAATGCGCTTCCATGAATACGGAAAATTTCCGGATCGCCTTGAAAGTTACATTTAAGGGACTGTGAAATTGTTATGGAACAAAGGAAAATATTCTTGTTCTGTAGTGCCGTTAAATAGGACACATCAACCTAACACGGTGATGGAATGGCTTGCTTTGTCTAATCCGTTAACCTAGTAACATCTGATTGACATATAAAACGGTTATGTGTTGTTAGTAATGTGTTTTATCATGTAATAATATGAATGTATTAACCATATTAATCAAATTAAACTCATACTAACAATTACAAAGTTGTGTTTTGCTTACTAACCTACAATCAGTCCTGTTGGAGCAAATGTACACAGCATGAACAGAAGGGTAATTCTGAACGCAAACGCAGCCTTACTCAATTGTATGCCTCTCTTCAGCGACCAGCGCCGGGATAGAGCGTAAACATGTTACAGCATAAGACTTTCTAAGACCACACTGCGATGGGAAGACCCGTTGTGACAGAGGCAGAGAAGTAATGCATCGCATGGGATTTGCACTTACTTGAGGTGGAATACAAGTTGGTTGAAAGGCACCTTGTGTGGCTCAGATATCCGCAGAAGCTTCACAGAACCGAATCTAGCACTTTTCTCTTACTGCCAAAACCTGTTATTTGAATGTTGTTACAAATGTGAAAAATAGTAGCTTCTGTCACACTAATACGTGTGCACATTTGTATGCAGCAGGCCCCAGAGGTTCCAGGCGACTTCTGGGAAGGTGTAGCTAAGCACACAACGGCCGCTTCCGAAAGTAATCTCATTCAGCGGCAACTAATTCTTCCGTGGATAAATAGTCCATGACTCAACAATACTTTCTATCGACTGGATTCATCAGAATGACTTGAATTTTAACGTACAACTGTAGTGATATTACTAACACTACCCTTCCATATCGATTGGACCTGCCATTTATTTTTTATACTTCCTGGGAGTGTACATTTTTATTTATTTAGTACATGCTTTTGACAATGTGTTAGGACTATCATCTACTGATATCTCGCATTATATTAAATGAATTAATGGCTCTGTTTATATTATTCACCCTGGTTTACGACTTTGCAGGATATTGAACATATAAACGTGGTTTGTGCACATATTTTCTTTTATTATTGCCAGTGGGGTGGGACTAAGTCCCTTGTACTGCGGCCACTTCTGGCCTATTGTACCAGCCCGCAGATAATACGTGAGGGTGTTTGTGGAGCAATTGGTAGAATGAAGATTGGCAGGGGAAACCGAAGTACTCGGAGAAAACCTGCCCCAGCACCACTTTGTCCACCACAAATTCCACTTTACCAAACCCCGGGATCGAACCCGGGCCGCCGAGGTGGGAAGCCAGCGACTAACCGCTTGAGCTATGGCGCGGCCCTTTGTGCACATAAATCAAGTTGTTTAGGTGTATATGAAGCCTTCAAATTTCATAATAATATAAAACATAATTTCTGTTAATTATGATGGATATGCATAGCTCTATAGCAAAGTGCCTCCTTTAGCTTTCTGACCATATTAATTCTGGTTCCCATAACACCTCTATTAATTTGCTGCCCCTAAACAAGTCTGGCTTTAAGGCATAACAGCATTTTGGCTGCAAGTTCAACTATAATTTTATTCTAATAATATTCATCAGAAATTTTCTGATTGGAAATTTGATGTCCTTTACAGAGTCAGACTTGAGAATGGGGATGATGACAAACAAAGAGGAGGAAAAATACAAAAGTCAGCCGATACCCAGCAAGTGACAGCAACCCTTTTCAGCAATGCTACTATAGTAGAAACGTCCACCAACAATATGGGGCGTGCCAAACACTCTTCTCCAATGGGAGATTCCATAAAGTCTTTAGCGAGTCAACTTTTAGATTCACAATATTTTGAAAAAGACAGCGATGAAGGTGAAACAGACAGCGACGAAGGTGGCAGTGATTCAATGGTGGACAAAGATGTAAGAACGCCACCTAAATTGAAGTCACAATTGAAACATAAACAGAGCAATCAACGTGTAAAATTACTGCCAAAGACAACCGAAATCCCAATACACTCACATTCCCATGAGGATACCGGAGAGGAGATGAACCTCAAAGGAATTGCCGTCCCCGTTATAATTGAAGACGATGAGGAATTAGAAAAAACGATTGAAAAACTTTCATATACTGATCCGAGCGACACACGGCAGACTGTAGGTGACATGAACCAAAAGAAGAAATCAACAACTACGATAATGACAACACTGAGACCCTACTATGAATCACCGTCATCTGATGTTGTGTCGACGTGGGTTCTTCTTAGCGGCAGCAGCTCTCCAACAACCCCTTCACATCTGCTAAACAAGGAGAAGACACACAGCCCAAGAGTCCCAAGCAGCCACAAAACTGCAGTCACCACACCAATATCAGAACACTTAAAGACTACTTCAGCAGCAACTAAAGTTTCATATAAAGACTTGAGAGGCACCATAGAGCCGTATTATCATCAAGGAAGTGGTGGCCTCGGTCCCTATGGGAGCACTGTGACTCCTTCAACAGTAACAAGGAAACCTGTTCGAATAGGCAGCCCAACATCAGCGTTATTCTCTGAAACTGCAAAGCCTCATTTGCGTCAAAATGAAACACTGGAAATACTTAAACTTTCGAAAACCAGGAAACCAAACCCAACACGCACGACCATTAAAATGCCCACGACAACAGCAGCGGCAACAACAGTAACAACAACATCTGTCCCAACTTTCTCTACGAAACTACGGCCTCTTAACCAACAAAGCAACAGCCAGAAAAGCCAGCTGAGAGGGACAACAGTTAGACCAACTGCAGTCGCAGCAGACAGACATCGAGACACCGAGGAACTTCTCAGGCCTATTGCCACAGTAGCTACTCCTGAAAATGAAACCACCTCTTCAGAAGAAAATAACGCGGAAGACAGCAGCACCGATGCATCTCTAGACACGATGACAAAACGCCCCGGACGCCCAACCGGAGGAAACAAGAAAAGGAAGAATAACAAAAATAGACGTAGACGGCCCAGCAATAAACCAGAAGTAACTGAAGACCCTGAGAGTAAAACTGGAGAAATGAATACCACTTTCACCAACAACAAAGTGACGACAAAGGAACGCCCTCTTTCTACTAGGATATATAATTATCTTGCTCGAGAGGTGATGCCTTCCGTTGGAGTGGGATTGATTGGTCTCGTGGTTACAGCTGGACTTGCTGGTCTAATCATGTACCCTTTTGGCGGAGGACTTGCCACAAGGCGAACTTACGAAGAACAAATGCCTCCACACCAACTGCACCCCAGCGCATACTATCACCATGGCGAATATGACGGCGAAATCGACAACAGTCAGTCGGAAGAGGAGGTGTTTGGGAAACTGTTAGAGGGAATGAATGATAAAGGAGAATTTACTTACAGCGGTATAGGTGAAGAAACAACAGGTTATGCTGGAGCACCAGGGATGGATCTCGATCAGGACTCCAGATACAAGACTACGGCTGGCGGCGTAGAAGATGGGCAGATGTACAGTTCGGCCGGCATGAGATACGGTGGAGTAACAATTGATTCTTCACAGCAGGGTGCTGCAAGTTTCGCAGGTTCTGGGAAGAACGAAGCAACGTATCCATATTCCCATGGCAGCCAACATAGTTATGGGAGCAGTTTGCGTGCCGCTGACACACAAGATAGGTATCAGTACGGGGGAATGGCTACAAGGAGTGGGGGCATTGGAGACTCAGTGAGGGAATCTCAGCATCTGTATAGCGGAACTGTAAATACAGCTAAAAAGCAGTATGCGGTGGGAAGCATTCACCTCGACGGCAAGCCACACCAACATGCAGGCTCTCGGACTACTGCATATGGAGGGCTATATTACACGCCAAGTTACACAGCGTCAGAATCTCATGCGCTAAACGCTTACGGAGGATTGACAGCGACAGAAGGGCCGGCATATGGGAGCATGCAAGTTGACAGTAAGCAAGGGCTGCGTCATTCAGCGAATACAGAGAAATCTTCAGAAATGAAACATAAAACAATTAGCATTTTGGAAAGCATCTCTGCAGGAAATGAGCAGTATAGAAGAGGCGTTTCCGAGAACAGACAACAGTATAGGGGTGGCATAGACACACAACCTCGATCAGGGGGCAGTATTATTACCGTTTCTGTCACAAGGCAACCGGGCCCACGCGGAGTGCTTGAAGATACACAGACTGAGCAGTTTGTAGAGCATGAGCATATTGAAAAAATTTCAAGAAATAAGCAAGGTTCAAGTCAACGAAAACATGAAATATATATGAACAGTGACGCTGAGGATAGAACTAATGGGAAGCGGGACAGTAAAAACGGGCCTGGAAGTTTATCAGATATCTCAAGTGGAATATCTTCAGAGTTTCAAAAGACGGAGTCACTTATTTCAGGTTTTGTTGGACATGGACCTAGGAGTTTAAGACTCAAGCGAGATACCAATGAGTCTACGAAATTCAGAATTCCAGATGGGGATGTGAGAGACAACGAAATTGAGACTAACAAACTGAAATACCCTGTAAATAGAAATCTTATAGGAAAAGATTATCAAGATGAAAGCAATGAATTGCCTACTCACTTGATGTTGAAAAATTCTGTAACTTTACTTGGGGACATACAAAAGAGGGAAGGGATTGTCAAGGCATCAGTAGGAAAAGAAACAACAGAAACAGAGACATCCACGGTAAATGGCAGAGTGACAAATAACCCAACTGAAGACACCGAAAACGTTAACACTGTTACGTTACCAAATGAAAGCTCTACCCTCGAAAATGAACTACCTACGACGACACATTTTAACGACTATGATACTAGTGGTGAATACGCTGATATACAGAGTGACGAGGAATATGATACAACCATTTCCCCCGAAATGACGACAGTGTCTAATGAGATATCAACTAAAGACGCAGATATAGAAATGACAACTAAAATCCCAGAATCACAATTTTCCCTTCTAGGATTTGTTCGACGTATTGCACGTTTCAAGCTTAGAATGGGGCTAAACTTGTTGAAGAGCACATCTCAAGCACTTACTAATTACATAGAGAGAGTTCAGAGACGAATGGACAAGGATTATAACAGTTCCAAAGGCAGTTCAATTAATGCAAGAATAATCAAGAGAGACACTTGAAAATTAAAGACTACTTGTAAAATAAATCGAAGAAAAGTAAGTTAAATCTATTCAGAAAGCAGAAAGCGACTTAGAGGGCAGTTGAACTCTGAAGCAATTTTATACTGCGAGGAAAATAAAAGAAACATAATTAAGTTTAGAAGGAATTTGTAACTCTTATGGAACGTATGAATATGATCAATTTTTTACGAGAGTACATTATTTTATGAGTAAGTGTTACATTTTAATAAGAAATATGCACAGAAATCTTGTATATTCATGATAGTTACATTTCTACACAGAAATAATGCTGTCATATGCAGAATTTTATTCAGCTTATGAAGAGCAAATTAGATTGACAGACAAACGGAACCTCAGAAATTAACATAGTATCGACTTTAAATCAACAGTGCATGATCTGATCCTTGTGCAAAATTATATTACAGTTATTAACAGGTCAGTTGATTTGAAAAGAGAGTGAATGAAATTTTGTCCACATGATTCAAGTAAGGACAGGTGAAGATGACACTTGCTGTAGTGTACAGCAAGGAAGCTGGTGTTATCATAATCTGCCCATCTATGAAAACAGCACAGTGTACCACATAGAGAAATTACAGCATCATATCTGTTATTAGATGCTTCAAAAATAGTAAAACGAAAAGCTAGGTCGATAATGACTTGGGTTTTTATATTAAATAAGTCCATTATGAAAGTTCATGATATTTCGCAATTTACATAGACAGTTGAAGTTGTAAAATAATCATTTGCATAATTTATTCTTTTATGAGGAATACCTTCTTTTAGGTTGTGACATCATGTACTTCAGAGAGACCACATGTTTCAGTGGTACACATCACCTCTGTCTTTAGAGTCGATTAGCAAGCCAAGAAAGAATCCAGCAAGCTAAACTGAGCTTGCCTCCTGTTACCTGTAGTTTCTAGTTTGGTTCATTTTTCGATCCTGAAGATGGAGACCCTATGATCCTCCGAACCATCGGGCTGTCTCAGTTACAACCATGAAGACTGTACTCTTCAATCAGTGAGAACTTCAAATATAATATTAGTATTTATGTTAACTTCTAAAATAAAATATTTAAGAATTCCGAGGAATCTCTTGGCCTGCAATACACACATAATTGTCTTTAAACATTTCAAAAATATTTTCTGTGCAGCTGTTAGGGTTTATCAGAGAAAAAAATGGTATTCAGAATTCCGTGTAGATAGTCTGATATGTAGACAGGATTGCATCTTCACATAATAAGTGAACAATGTAAACAAAGTTTTAGCTACACTATACACTGCACTAAGTTTTACAAAGGTACATTGTACTTAGCTAAAATGAAGGAATCTTTCTGATTACAGATCTAATGCATATCACCAAATCAGTGGTGTAGGTGTTCATATCATTTTAATTTATATAGATTGGGAATATAAGTGTTCATTGCATCAAGGCAATAAACAAATCACTGCTCTTGGGGTCAGAAAGGGTTGCGATATTTTAGACAATGTAAATGAAAAGAAAGAAAACGCATGCAGAGTTTATTGATTTTCTTTTTGAATTTGACATATGGGTCTTGTGATAACAGATAGACATTTTAATATGTTATAAAATTCATTGTTTTTCCCACTGTTTCTTTTTATTAAACATATTTTGAATTTATCACGGCCTATTATTCATTTAGGTGTATGTAAATGAAATGAGAGTGTATACATATTATTATTTAATAAATAGAATTACTAAACGTGTTGTAAGTACATAAAATTGGAGACACATTCTAATGTACTTCCATAGATGTCTGTGCAATACAGTTTCTTCAAGAACTATTACACAAATATGTGCTCACCAGTACGATACAATATGCAGCTTATGGCTAAATACATGTACAGTGATGTTGGTCCCAATTCATTGCAATAAGTATACAAATATATTTTACGAAATATTACACCAGCAGAAGTGCAGAAATAATATTAACTTGTAGAATAAGTTAATACAATTTACCTTGGACCACTATAGTGTTGGTCGAAGGTTTAATAAACGCTCATGGCATGATTCACATAGTTCTCTGCTGTTAGGTGTGTCTGTGTTTGTAAAAATCTTAGATGAGGCCATTCTCTATCAAGGGAGTTTTATCAAATGTGTAAAAGACTGAATTCTGATAAGAACATACCATATGCCCTAATCCATGACTGGTGAGGGAGATAATTTAACATTCACAATTTGATGCTACATAAGCTCTGCAGTTAGAAAGACACCATTAAAGAAATCCAGAATTGAGCATGATACTGTATGATTATCAATAGAAACAAATTATATAGAAGACACATGAGAATTTTAATGTTCCACTATGTTGGAGATTTTAATTGAATTTGTCATATGGACACTGTTATGTAGTCATTACTGAGATTACACAAGAAAATGATCTTTATGAATGTGCTGTCCAGATAGTAAATTGGGTACTTCCATTCGAAAATACTTCTGGGTGGAATTTAATCTTAACTAGCAGGAATCTGAATTATTTACAGTGTATTAATTAATAGACTTGTATGTAGTCCTTCTAAGTATCTTAACATTACCATATAAAGAGATATAAATACACAATTTCTTGCAGATAGAAAAACACAGTGTTTTTATTGATCATTCCATTCAAGTAACTATGTATGAAATAAAACAAATATATTTTCTGTTTGTATGTCATACAACAATTTAACCTGTATTCTTGTCTCGATGTTAACAGAGCATTAAGAAGAAACTGCTAAAGATCATCATGGTGAATTTCAACTAATAGCTCAACTAATAATAAGTTTTTTAATCATCGACTAATGAAGAATAAATGAGAATACAAAAGGCGGTACATCAGCTGTTTATGGATTCCAAGAAATAATACGATTCAGTTGAGAGGGAAATATTGTACAATATTCTTGTCAAAATCTGTACTTCCATGAAAATAATTAGGCTAATTAAAATGTGTTTTAATGTGACCCATAGGAAAGTCCATGTAGATTAACATTTGTTTCTTATTCGAGAATAGTCCGACTCGGTGACATTCTCTACCAGTATTGCTCTTCAAGTATACTTTTGAGCATACCTTTAGGAGGCCCAAGAAACCCAGGCCATATTAAAATTAATGAGACACAGCTGCTTTGGATTTATGTTCATGATGTCAATTTAGTGTAGATTAATATAAACATAAATAAATAAACATAAACAGTGATAGATGCTAATAAGGACATTGGTATACAAATAAACACAGGAAAACCAAGTGTATGTTAATGTTTTGTGACCTGAATGCAGGATAAATTTGTTACATCCTTTGAAAACTTGACAAAGTTCAGATATTTGAGAATGATGCTTACAGATCACAAGTGCATTCATGAAAAATTAAGAGCATAGAGAAGTGCAATTTTACTTGCAGTTTTTTGGCGGTGTGAGGCTTGGTCTCTCACAGTAAGTAAGAAAATAGTTTGCCGATCTTCGAAGACAAGGTGCTGAGGAGAATATTTGGGTCCAAGAGGAATGAAATAATGTGAAGTTGGAGACAACTGCATTTTCAAGAGATGCATAAATTGTACTTCTCGCCAGATATTAGAAATATGAAATGAAGGGGGATCAAACATGTATCCGAACTTCCTCCCTCCTGTCCATCTCTCCTTATCAGGGTTCTTAGGTTTAATACTAAAGGGAATTAATTACAGGATTTGGCTTCAATGACGGACATACTCTCATAAATATAATTAAGAACACATAAACGAAATCTGATTGGATGGAACAGGCAGCCGGATAACATGAGAATCTCAAGGGTGTTAACGGCCCAAACCACCAGCGTCAATGATATAAAGATTGATTTATTCACCACTCGAAGGTACCACGAAACCTCTTCGCCCGCTCCAATACTGGGGTCGTGGGTTCGAATCCCACTCTATGTGTCTGTGTTTGTGTGCGTTTATTCTATGTTTGTGTGTCCTTTGTAGGTAGCTGCCTTGCGACGGGCTGACTGTGCACGGAGTCCTACCGACTGTGTATAGGATTAAGAAGAGAGAGAGAAGGTACCACGAAATACCTAGGATGAAATATATAAAGAAGTACAATGGAATGCACCGTTCATTCACGTACTCTTTGGCAGATTCAGAGTCAGAGATGTAAGTGATTTTTAGTTTTGAGTTAGCATTTCGAAATACAGCGCTACAAACTCAAAAGCGCAACTATTCAGAAAATACGTAATTATCTCAACTGATAGGTTACATACAAACTAGGTGCCTATGTCAGAATTGTTTTCTTGGCAATTACAACGTTTGTTTCAACATTCGGAAAATATCAAGCTCGGATTCGAGTCGCTTTCGAACTTCCAGTTCGAAGATTTACAGTTGCACAGGCCTGTTAAGGTGGCAACAAGCGGGCGCCTTACTATGTCAGAACATACATTGAAACATTGCATTGCAAGTGCAAGACAAAACAACGCGTTCTTAAAGTCACAATCATGGTTTACTTAATGGCAAAATATATGTAACGTATATAAAAGTATGAAATTTATAAATCGGTAAAAATTAAAATGATTATAAATATATGTCCTATAATTACTTAAATCGAAATAATAATAAAAGTATTTAAACGGCCAGAAGGAAGAAGGCGAAAGTAAGAAAGAGAAGAAAAGAGAAGTGTATATAAAGTTTTTGTGGGGAAACCAGAAGGAAAGAGATGATTGTAAAGACTCTACAAGGAAATGGGAGAATAATATTAAAATTAACCTAAAAGGAGTAGAATGTTGTAGTCTGTACCCGTCCTGCTCAGAATAGGGATCAGCGGCGGTCTGTTGTGACCAGGGAAATGAAACTCCGTGTTCCATAAAATGCAGAGACTTTCTTCAGTGGTTGAGTATTTATTGGTTGGAAAACTTAGTTCCACGGATTTGGTTAATTAACAGGTACATTAATAAAATCGTGATTCATACCAAGTAATTAACAAGTAATTTTCTCCATCTATAAGTGAAGACGAGCTTTTTTATGGTAAAATTCTTCATCACAGCTTTAAACGTAGAAGGACATTGACAAAAAAATAATCTGGTAATGTAGGGACTTCACGCGTTCCGCATCGTGCACATGACTGAGTCTAGCATAATTAAAATTCAATAGAGAATTACATTTCTTCGTCCTCTAGAGAGGATATCACGACCTTATGTCTACAAAATTCTTTAATTTTCACACAGCTACAATTGAACTTGTTTACATATGACAGAAATTTCCACTGTGACCACATATGCCTGTGTTCCAAGAACAAGAGAAATTTCAAGGTACTGACACTTTCTTTAAAATTAGAGTTTCGTAAAAATACTAACAAAAAGTAACATATAAATATAAAACTCTATTTCCGGATTTAGCGAAACTATGAAAGTGCAGGAAACAACAATTGTACCACATCTTGTATAGGAACACTGGAAAAAGTGTAAACAAATTCCATAAATTAAAATTCAGCTCCAATAACTGCAAATATTGATGCTGTCAACCTATTATTATTATCAAGAATGCTACTGTTCCAAAACACGCTTGATATCTCTGTTTCCTTCATAAGAGACTTCTGATTTGTGATATCTGCACAACTGTGATGTACAGAAAATTTCGTCAATGCTATCACAATGTAAAGACTTATTGCTTTCAAATTAAAACGTTTAAACTTCTCCTTTTCGCACAGCTTCCTTACTCGTTACAACTCTATTATTTATTTCCCATTTCTTCGCATTTTCCTTTCTGTTATTCAACTTCGGAGAAGCGTAATCCAGAATGGCTGGCATTGTCGCGGTTAAGTTCATATTTGGTGCCAGAGTGCTTCTTTTCTTCCGTCCCAGCAACATTGGCACGAGAAGTGCCATCGTGGCTGGGAGCATGCCAGCTCCCACAGCAGCTAGGACTGCTTTTCCATTTCCTTTTGGCTTAACTGGCGTAGAGATGAGCCTTACCGGTACTGGTTTAGTGTCGTTCTCTATTCTCTTATTGGCGTCGTCTCTCTGGGCTTCATCAACAGTCTGGAATGTGCTCTCCACCTCCAGCAAGCCACCATGCGAAGTTGTTGTGTTCGCTGTGCCATTTAGGGCAGGGAGAACTGTCAGTCTGACACTACGAGTTGCAGTGATAGGTCTTGGGTTCAGTGTGAGGGCTCTTTGGTATGAGTGATGGCGAATAGGCTTGGAATACCCTTTAGTGCTGGACAGCAGCACCCACTCACCTTCCCCACTCTCAGGATAATTCTGCGGTAGTCCACCGTCGTGATAGACGACAGGAGTTGGAGGTCTGCGGGTTACCTCATGTTTATAATTGTCATCATACTGATGCTGATGGTGAGCAAAATCTGTTTCTTGATATGGCCATGGCTTAAAGTTTCCAGTTCCTCCCGGTCTATGTATAGGAACTGGCCAGTTTTCAGGTGTTCCCTCAGTGATAATATCAGGATGACTTGAAGTTATCCATTGTTGGTGATGCCCATGGGTTGGTTTGTAATTGTAATCGCCTACAGGTCGTTCCAAGTGAAGTACTGGTTTATGGACCGATTCTTGTGACCAGCTGTCATCTGTTGGTCGGTTACTCACCAGGTACTGTGGCTTTGATGGCTTCTCATATTTCCAGTCCGTTGGCCTCTCACCATGCTGTGGTCTTTCCCACGGCTTCGAAGGCTTGTCGGAATTCCAGTCTTGTGCTTGAGGTCGGCTCTCCCAGTGGGGACGCTTGTTGCTTATATTTGATGATTGCCATTTTGAAATTTTGCTGGAAGACCACGGAATTGCTTCCAGGGTTACCCATCCATCACGGTCGTCATATGGATGATTGTGATGTTGGGCTTGTACCAGGCTCCAGTGAGGCTTGGATTTGCCGTCAATCGATACAGAATCCGGCTCGTTCTCATCATCAAGATACAAGTTTGCTAATCGATTAGTTGGTTCTGCTGTAGGTTCAAACGCAGTCAGATCTTTACTCTTGTCCTCACTAAAGCTTCTATTGTCACTACTGTCAAACGTTACATAAGACGGTGGTGTTTCGTTCTTTGAGTACTGCTTAGTGGAATTTAATTTAGAAACAGCATAGTCATTGAGAAATTTCTCCAAAACTTCTTGTGAATAAGGTTTGAAAGTGGGGGGAGTTGTCGAATTTATGTTGATCGTTTCACTGCAACTCTTTCCATTAGAACAATCAATTGAATAATGAGGGATATGGGCGGACGACCGCGGATAGACTGTGGTAGTGGAAGTGGTTGGAGGATGCGACGATGTGATGAACTCTCGACGCCACTGTAGGTCGGACATACTTGGAATATTGGCGTTGGATCTTGTAGTGCTGTTCAGTTGATCTCCAATCGAGAATGGCCTTGATGTGATAATTACAGAACTGAGACGTGCTCTGCCAGCTTCTTGATATGGGGCTGGAGCATGGTACAGAGCAAGATGTCGATCAGATGACTGCGAGAACTGTAGCGTAGACGACGAACATCTCGAGTGGAATAGACAAAGAGCAGCCAAGAGTGGCAATCTGATATTCCTTATCATGCTCTCCAGTATAGAAGTCACAATAGTGGATAGATGTCGGATTTTTCATATGTTTCCACTCTTGCAGTGCATGCTCCACATCCAACCTGCAACATGAACAAACGATACAACTTAAGGCACTTCCATTTTTACGGGGGTAGGCAGATACACAAGTACCTAATTTTATATTTACGCTCCAATAAAGAGCATGTTCACAGGTTCTGCTCAATTCAGCTCAGCAAGGGAAACAGAGGTATGTTGAAAATACAGACACGTGTAATACATCCGCTCAGACCTTTCAATATTCCTGGACAAGAATATTTTGCTGGGTTGCTAGGAACGCAGAGAATCGAGATATGCCGAAACAGTCGATTTTGCACCATTTGTGAACATTACATTGGTGTTAATTTCTGACTACACTACTCACAGGTGCAATACGAATCGAAACACCAAGTTATATTCAGTAATTATTAAGTATATGTTAAAATGAAAGATTAATTGCCTCGAATGCAGCAATAAATGTACTCTGTACCAAATGTGTAGTAATTTTCTGTGTAATATACCCGGTCTTTCCGAAAAGAAATCGAGCATATTTTTTAAACATTCGTTCTTAAACTTACAATTTAATAAGACTTGTCTCCTTCAAAGTACTCCCCTCCACTGTCTGTACACCGCTTCAAACGTTTTTCCAGTGCTAGAACGCGTCCCGGAACGAGTTTTGCGGGACAGCGCGTCGGTCCCATAGCGATTTTTCTTCTAGCTCTTCTATCGTCCAAAATTCGAAACCTTTCAGATCGGATTTCAAATTCCGGAATCAAAGAAATTCTGAGGGGGCCAATTCTGGAGAGTAGGGCGGTTGGGGGGGCGGAAGCCGTCTCGTGCTTCGCCAAAAATTCACGGATGAGGGCGACGCGTGAGCAGGTGCGTTGTCGTGGTGCAGCATCCAGGTCTGGTACCTCCACCCCTCAGGCCACTTCCTTCGTTCTGCCTCCCTCAAGCGCTCCAAGATCTCCGAGTGAAACTGTCCATTGACTGTCTGACCACGTGGAAAAACTCATGATGAACGAGGCCCTTCTCATAAAAAACGATCAACAACACCTTCACATTTGATCGACTCCGACGTGCATTGGTCGCGGCGACAATTTTCCCACCCACTGCAATGATTGAGCTTTTGTTTCGATATCGTACACGTACACCCATGTTTCATCACCTGTTACGACATTTTTCAGAAAGTTTTCGTCAGCATTTGAACGATCAAATAGCTCCTTACTGACCATGACACGGTTCGCTTTTTGCTTATCTGTCAAAAACATGGCACAAATTTTGCAGCAACACGATGCATCTCAAGTATTTCGGTCAAAATTGTGTGGTACGAAATTTTACTGATGCCTACTTTTTCAGAAACTTCACGGAGAGTTAGGCGGTGATTTTCACGAACCGCAGCACTCACTTTCTCATCATGATCATGGTCCGTTGATGTGGAAGGCCGTCCAGATTTGGGATTGTCTTCGGTGGACTTTCTGCCCGATTTCAAACGTTGGTACCATTCGTAACACCGTGAACGGCTTATACAATCCTCTCCATAAGCTTGCTTCAACATCTGAAAATTCTCTGTAAAAGTTTTTGCCAATTTGGAACAATTTCAACCAACAACGTTACTCTTCAAGGTCCTTCATATTTCAACTTGCAAAATCGCAAGAGGCACAAAAGACAGGTTGTTTCTACCGCATGTACTCGATGACTAAGTGATGTGGCGTGATCGGGCAGGTGTCAGGTTAAAGCTTTAGGTGATCGCTACAAAACACCACTGTCACGAGTCACCTGTGTTGGGTCGTTGGCGCCCTATTTAACAAGTTCAGTTTCTCTTTGGACAGACCACGTACATTCTACACATTTTATCGCTCCCATAAACATTTAAGGATTCAAAAATGCGTAGGTTATGTAATAAATATGGCAAATATTGATTATTACTGTCTGATATTAAATAAAACAGAATATTAACAATCAAGTTCCTTCCGTCAAATGTGACACTTTTTTAAGTTTTCCACCTCGTCACCACCTGCCTTACATGTTTCGGCTCACCACGGAGCCATCATCAGAGGCATTTATAGTAGAAAAAGAAATCACCAACACACAAAACTTCACTTTGTCCAAGATAGCCACGTTCCAGTTAATTAAAATAATTACAAATAGTTAAAATTA